TTAAAAAAAAAAGGTTTTATTGACAAAAAGTAAAAAATAATCATATATCTTTATTATTTTAATTAATTAACTAAATTATTTAAATAATTTCAAATTAATAAAATAATAACTAAATTAAAATTTTAGTTTGAATTAAGTATAAAAATTTTATGCAAAATTATTTTAAATAACCAAAAATTGCCCATCCGTGCAAATTGCTATGTTCAGGGTTATCCGCAACTGTCTTAAACCAACCAACCAAGCGTTAAATTTTTATAACCCAATCCAAACTTCAGACAATTTCCAATTTGGATTTACCGAAATAAAAAAATAAAAATAAAAAACAGAAAGACAATTTCCAATTTGGGTTTTGGTTTGAACATTTTTTTGATTTTTTTCTTTGGGTTTTTGGGCTTAATGATTTTTTGGGTGTTTGGGCTCACTGATAATGTTATTGCCCAATCCAAACTTCAAACCCGGGTTTCACTGTAAAACGGGCACCGTTTTCGTAAAGGAGCTAACTTGACTTGGGCAATGGGAAAGGCCAGAGCCTGAACTATTTGCCTCATCCAATTCAGCGATCCACCCTGTTTCTTCGTCTTCTCCTCTCGTCGAATTGATCACAGACCCTTCAGAGGAAAATGAGTGTAAGCTAATTCATCCAATAAATTTCAAGAATTTCTTCACTTGGGTCTGAATATTTTTCTCTTTTCTTTTCTTTTCTTTTTTGTTATAATATTTTTCTCTTTTCTTACATGGCATGGCAGTATATGGATTCAAAATGTCCCAGCATGGCCTAGTTGGGTCTGAATCTGATTCACAGAGAACCCTGTAAGTTCTCTCTCTCAATCTTACTGTTGGTTTGTAGATATATGTGTAAGAGAACAAGGGCTTGTTGTTTGGTATTCTCCTTTTGAATTTTTTGTGGGTTTTGGAAATTTTGGATAGATGCCCATATGTGACCGGTACATCAGTGGTGGCTTTGAAGTACACAGATGGGATTCTGATGGCTGCTGATATGGGAGGTCAGTGTTCGCACATTCATTAATCTCCCTAGTGTTTTGTTTTTCCTTTGACTGTAGTATTATGTAATTGGAAGAATAGAAATTTGGATCTTTTATGATGGTTGTTCATTTTAAAGATGGAATCTTAATTTTACATCCTAGTTGGTCTCTTCAGTTCGATTGTAATGTGATTGAGATTATCACTTATTTTCTTTCAATATTCATTCATTTGTTGAGAGGCCATCTAAATCTTGTTACTGTTTGTTTTGACCTTGCTGATTATAAGCTTTGTGGATTTAGCAACCCCAAGTTGTGTGAATAAGCTTGCTGATAATTGCTAGTTTTCATTCCTTAATCAGTTTTTACTAGGAGATAATGTCGAGAACAATGATTGAGGTGATGCTTAATTGTCATTATGTCCCTAAATAATCAGTCTTGGTTTTATGTTGGAAGATGGAATGTACTTATGTTGTATGTCTCTAATGTCTTCATCGAGCAAAGAAGTTGAGACTAGCAGGTTGAGAAAACAATATTTTCTTTACCGACTCAGCTAGCTGCAATCTCAACTCGAGCTCCAACAGTTGGCACTTGTGTGGTTCAAGCTGTGAGGCCGACTATTGAGCTCGTCACGAAAAGAGCTGAGGATGAGTCTGCAGCTCAGAAGAGGCGCAGGCTGGAGGAGGGGCAGCAGCAACAGCAGCAACAACAGCAACAGCAGCAGCAGCAGCAGGAGGCTCCTCAGTTTGTACCTCGTCCTCCCCCGGTGGTTGTTGATCTTGCTGCTAGGGAGGTTGGGGTTGTAACACATGTGAGGGGAAAAAGCTTCCTAACTCGAGTCTGGTATCCAGAGGGTTATAGCTTCGCAACCTCTTCCAGCAGAACAGCTGCAAGGCATTTCATTGATGCCACATTTCTCAAAATGGATCTAATTCAGGCAAGGGACGAGGCAGATCTCCATGGAGGAGATGGGGTAGTTCGTCACATCTTTGAGGTAAGGAATTCATTGGTATAAGTTTTTAACTTTGGCTTTTTCTTTTTTTTTTTTTTTCTTTTAACTTTGGTAATTTATGTAGGGAGCCAATCTTGTTAATGCTTTGGCAAACAACCACCTGGACTCCCTAAAGGAAAGAAATAAATTGGTGAAAGAGGAGGAGGAGCTCAGCAAGCAGTAGGAGGATGCTGAGAAAAATGTGGAGAGCTTAACCTTGGAGTTGGATAAGCTCCAAGGTGAAGTGGCCATGCTGAAGAAGGCTGCCAAGCTCGCAGATCACAATAGAAAAGTTTGTGAAGAAAATCTTTCCAAGAGGGACGAGCAAATTGCCAAGATGGGGAAGAAAGTTGAAGAACTGCAACGAGATGTTGAGTTGCAGATCCATAATTCCATGGAGACTCATATGTCCAAGTTTGTCAAGTCTAGCACGTTTTTCAATATCGTGGACCTCTATTGCCTTCCTCCTATGGTGTTGGCCTTTAGCAGGTGTTTGAACATGAACATCAAAGAAAAATTGCTTGTTTGGTATCAAGACCATCCTTGTAAAGCATTGGAAATCCTAGGAATGTGATTAAGAGTGAGGATGGAGTATCCTGGTCAAGTTTTATGTTGTGGAAATGAAACCAATTGCTTGCAGGGCTAGTTAACATCTGATTTGTGTGTTTGTTCATAAGAATGCTTTACATGTTGAGATTACTAATCTAGGAAGAGGTTTGTTCCTGTTTTTGTTTTTTTCTTGGTACATTCGATAATATGATGAGTTATACAAGAAGAAGATAGCTTACCATTTTCCTAAATTTCTCTCTACCCAACTCAAGATTTAAATTTAAGATTTCCAATTTGAAATTTCAATCTCTTAATCTTTGAACCACCCTCTTGAAGGTATAAATCTGGTTTTTTCTTAAGAATGGGACAAGTAATGGTTTTTTCTTAAGAATGGGACAAGTAATGGTTTTTTCTTAAGAATGGGACAAGTAATGGTTTTTTCTTAAGAATGGGACAAGTAATGTTAGATGCTGTAAATAGCTAAATAATAAAGACTATTAATGTATAAGATTATGAATAATAAAATTATTAATATAAGAGATTGGTATTTTACAGTTCATGTTGCACAAATTGCAAATATCTTAAACTTCAATCTCATGATCTACAAGATTAATTACTAACACCCCATAAGGACTCTCTGATTATGAAATTGAGGTATTTATAGTTTTCATAAGACAAACTACAAAACCTTTTTGTAATATACATTAACATATTTAACATGAACCAAACACAACTTATTTAATAGCATCTTAACTTATTGTTAAATACAAATCAAAGGGTTTAGAGGAGTCGATGAACCAATGATTTTCTTCCCCAAGTAAAGCCAGGCTTGGTATGTAAGTAAAGGCACGCGAAGGTATCAAGTTTTGGAGTTCTTTAATGTCATTGATTGTGGAGGTCTTGAGGTGATAAGAAACAAGATGGCGACACGTCCCATTCACCATTGTGATTAGTAACACAACTTGGTCAATTTATTCTGTGTGGGGTTTACAATTTGTTTTTTTCTCTTTCCATTTATTCTGGCAGATTCTTTTAGGATTTGTTGTCATTAAATATGTAAACCAATATTAACTCTACAATAATGCCAGCCAATGTTTGCATTATCAGTTCGTAATTCAAGTCTACTAAGATTTTTGATTGATATGTTCGTTGGTTGGCTTAAGGCCTTAAGCTATATTGCTTGCAAATAGCAGCCTCCAAGGCCCCCTTTTTTTCTTTTTCTTTTTTTCTTTTGCGATTTTCAGTTTTGGGAATTTTTCTTAGTATATTTGCCTACAAAGCTTTGGAAATGTGGTGCTTCTGATTATACACCATAGACTTAAGAAATGAAAATATTAAATGGAATTCAGTACATAATGTGTTGTCCTGACACGCTTTTTATCACTTATGTTGCCTTTTGGGTTTAAAATCTTGCTGGCAGTAAGTCCAAATTGGACTGCTGCGCCAGCTAGTCTATTCTTCAAGCAAAAGGTTTGTCTTTTTTTTTTTTTTTTTTTTTTTCCTGTATTTCCTGATCTGTCTTGGAGTTGAAGCATTGTCTTTTTTAACTTAAAATTTCTCAAATGCACTATGTTATTTCTGAACAGCAAGATTCAATGCCGTCCCTGTAAAAGAAAAAAAGTAGCGAAAGTGAAGGTGGTGTTGGTGGACTCATCTAAAACCTCTCATTTTGTTGAGGAACCTGTTTCGGTTGAAGTATTGTAATTGCTTTAAAAAAAAGAAAAAGGAAAAGAAAGGTTTTTATTTTACAATATAAAAGTGATTACAAACCAGGGCTTTCAGGCATGTGTTAGATGCCCAATTCTTTTACGTGAACAGTTAACTCAGGCAATCAAAGGAAAATTTAAGATTCAGGAAAGCTAGATAGGTGGTTCGGTCTATGTGCAACTCTTTGGTTCATTTAGTTACAGAAAAATCGAAGATCTATTTACCAGGTGTTTGAACGTGAGCATCAAAGAAAAATTGCTTGTTTGGAATTAAGACTATCCTTGTAAAGCATTGGAAATCCTAGGAATGTCATTAAGAGTGTGGATGGAGTATCCAGGTCAAGTTTTATACTGTGGAAATAAAACCAATTGCTTGCTGGGCCATTTAACATATGATTTGTTTGTTTGTTCATAAGAATGCTTTCCATGCTGAGATTACTAATCTAAGGAGACAAATAAATCTGGTTTGTTCTTAAGAATGAAGCAAGTAGTGTTAGATGCTGTGAATACCAAATTAATAAGATTATTAACGTATAAAATTATGAATAGTGAGATTATTAATGTAAGAGGTCAATAACGAGATAATTTATGTAAGAGATTAGTATTTTAGCATTCATTTTGCACGTATTGCAAACACCTTAAATCTCAATCTCATTTTAACAAGATCAATTATTAACAGCCCACAAAAATTTCATTGATGATGAGATTGAGGTGTTTGCAATTATCAAGACAAACTACAAAATCCTTTTGTAATATATATTAGTATATTTAACATGAACCAAACATAACTTATTTAGTAGTATTCTAACTAACCACTAAATACAAATCAAAGAGTTTAGAGGAGTCCATGAACCAATGGTTTTCTTCCCCAAGTAAAGC